AGACCCGAGGCCTGCAGCTGGGCGGCGGGACAGACGCCGGTGAGGGCGGGCGCCGATGCAGGCCTAGGCCAAGACAAGGGCCATCCCAGGAACGCGGACGGGGCGGGCAGGGGCGGCGCGCTGCCGAGGGGCTGAGTTCTGAGACCCTACCCCCACCTCGCCCACCCGTTTCCCCAGCTGGCCAGGGAGGCAGAATGTCAGGCAGACACAGCTCCTGAACACCAGACCCCAGGCTGCCGCACCCCAAAGACACGCTCCCACGGCCACCACTGGAGGTGGAAGGTGGACAGTGCCTCGGGCCGCCCAGAGCCTGCAAACGAGCACCACAGCACCCTCTCCAGCACCCAGCTCATACGTCCTCACCCTAGACAGCAGCTGCAAGGGCCCTGGGTCGCCCCCGGCCCCATCAGCCGCCAGGGGCAGCAGCTGATGACGCTGCAGTGCCACGTGCAGGGCCGTGTCCCCCTCCTCGTCCTCGGCGTTGACGCTGCACCCAGCATCCACCAGCAGTGGCACCAGCCCCACGTGGGCCTGCTGCACAGCCAGATGCAGCGGGGACTGGAGCTTCCGGTTGCGCACGTTCACGTCACAGCGGCCCTGCGGCAGGCACAGGCTCAGCCCAGGGCGCAGCACAAGGGCTTCCCAGCCCTGAGCGAGCCTGAGGACCCGCCATACCTCCCGGATGAGGATCTGGGCCACGTCGCGGTGGTTGTTCAGGGCGGCCAGGTGCAGCGCCGTGAAGCCATCCTCCTTCTTGGCGTCCACCAACTGCCGTGCCCGAGCCAGAATCTTCCTGACAGCTCTGTGGGGGCAGGGAGGTCTGTCCCGGGCCTGGGGCCATCTCCGAGAGGCCAGCAACGCAGCAGGGGACTGTGCCCACCCCACACTCACAGCGTGTGGCCCTTGAGCGATGCATGGTGCAGCAGTGTGAAGCCCTGGCTGTTGGTGGCGGTGACGTCGATGCCAGGCACCTCGGTGAGGACCTCAACGATGCCACTGGCGCCGGCACCCGCAGAGATGGCGGAATGCAGGGGCGTGTTGGCATTTGCGTCCTGGTGGGGAACCAGCGGCCGCCAGGTGTTGACTTCCTCTGGAGCTAAGCTACCTCCCGAACCCCAGGGCTGTGGCCAGGGCACCCAGGGACCCACACTCACAGGCAGGTTGACGTCACAGCCGCGCTCACACAGCATCCTCACGACCTCCAGGAAGCCCCTCTGCACAGCCACGTGCAGCGCCGTGCTCCGGGTGCCGTTGAGGGCGTCCACCCCACACCCCGCGCTCAGGAGCAGCCGGGTGGCCTCGGGCTGGTTCCTGGCGGGAGAGGAGGTGGAATGGGAGGGGGCGCTGTGCCCACCGCGGCCTCACTGCCCACCCCCGAGGCCTCACCCCAGGGCCGCGTAGTGCAGCGCTGTGTTGCCCTCATCGTCCGGGAGGTCCACGCCAGCCCTCGCTTGAAGCAGCAGCCGCACCAGCTCCACCTGGCCCAGGTAGGCGGCCACCTGCAGGGCGGTCCTGCCCTGGTTCTTGGTGTCCACCTGTCAGGAGAGCCAGCAGCAAGTCCAGCCCTCCACGCTCGCATTGGCCAACTGGCACAGGGAACGCAGGGGGCGTGGGAACTCACCTGTTCCGGGTGCCTCCGCAGGAGGTCCAGGGCCCGGGCTGCACTGCCCAGCGCCACCTCCACCACCAGCCGCCCTGGGTGCTCTGGCTCACTCTTCTGGGCCCGCAGCTTGTCCAGAGCCACACTCAACGAGCCTGGGGACAGGCCTGAGTGAGTGGTGGCCAGGACACCCGCCTCCCGCCGTCACCCGGGCTGTGCCCACTTTTGTTCTCCCTGGCGCGCTCTGCCACATCCAGGTTGGCGTCCTCCTCGGGCCGGTAGGCCGCCAGGCAGGAGGGGCTGAAGGTCCACCGCTGCCCGCCGACGGCCACGCGCAGGTTCCCGTCTCCGAACACCTTCACCACTTTCCCGACGCGGCCCAGGGCCTGGGGAGCAGAGGCAGGGTCACAGCAGGGCACGGGCACGGGGCAGCAGGAAGGGCAGGGGGACTCACGGGGGCCATGTCGTCCGTCCACTCGCCGTGCCCAGCCTGCAGTCGCTTCGCTGTGTCCAGGTCGTCGATGACGCGGACCACATCACCCACCCAGAAGGAGTGGTGCTGAGCAACAAAGAGCCAGTGAGGGTCCCCCAACCACGTGCGGCTGCTCAGGGTCACCGAGCAGAAGGGTGACTCATCAAGCCCCCGAGGGAAAGGCAGGCCTGACCCTGACCCCAGCCCCCAACCAGCCAAAGCGTCTGCCTGGACAAGGACCACCACGGTGGCCGAGGCAGCCCTTGGTGGCCCAGCCCCAGAGCCCGGGGACAACCGCAGACACAGCCGGACAGCAGAGTCCAAGCCAGGTGAGAGCAGCTCTGGGCAGCGGGAAGGTCCCTGGGGCGCCTGAACACTGGCCAGCAGCCAACGGCAGGGCCGCTCCTCCCCCACATCTGCACCATCACCTGCAGGAAGCTCACTCCACAGACCCTCGCCCCGTAACTCCCCACGCCCCTCCCCGGTGTCCCCTGGCATCTCAGACCCCAGGCCCAGAGCTGAGCTCCGACCTGTCCACCCCCCGGCCAGGGCCCCTTGCTCGGACACACCCCCACTCCCTCCTCCACTCCCATCCCTGCCATCCTGCCTCCTTGCCAGCTCTCGCAGCACACGCCTCCCCCTCCCTCAGTCCCCCACTGCCTCAGGCAAGTGTCTCCTCCCTGTCCCAATGGCCACTTTCGTGGGCCCTGAGCTGCACCCTCGGTGCCAGTCGGCTTCTGTCCTCAGGCCTCCCACTCCGGCTGCACCGCCCCCACCTCGCCCTCCTCTGGGCCCCTCCACGCCAGCTCCCGCTCCTCCCGGACCCACCTCCTTCAGGGCTGGGGACTCATGAGTGGGGCCAGCGACTAGCCTGACTTCCCCAGGCCAAGTAGGAGGCGGAGGGGTTGCAGAAGCAGAAGGATAGGGCCGAGCCCACCCCCCAGGCACCTTGGTGAGCGCCCCGGGGTGGAAGGTCCAGCGGGTGTCATGGTTGAACTGCACACGCACGTCCCCGCGGTCTGTGATGCGGTGCACGGTGCCCGTCTGTCCGATAAACTGTGGCGGGTCATGGAGGCTGTGGCTGGGCTGGGCTGGGGGAGGGGGGGGATGGGGGCCAGAGGACGGGACGGGCACGGGTCAATGGGCAGGGCGGCTCACCTCTGCCATCCTGGGGTTCCAGCCACCATGGCCTTCCTGCATCTCCCTCAGGACGTCTGTGTCCAGCAGACACTTGACCTTGTCCCCGTGCTGGAAGGGCTGGCCGTCGGCACTGACCCTGCGCTGCAGCTCTGCTGGCTTGCCTGGGGGGCACAGGCCAGGCCTCAGGCAGCAGCCTTCCCCTCCGAGACTGCAGGAGGCAGCGGGGGTTGGTGGGGACGGCCGTACCGAGCCTTGGGAGGTGGTCCTTGTAGTAGAAGCCACCTGCCGCCTCGCCCACACACTTGAGGTCCACCTTGCCCTTGTGGCCCACACGGTACACGTTAGTGGTTCCGTCGGCCCACATCACACTGGCCACGCTCCGGCCTGTCTCCACATCCCAGCCACGGATGTCCACCACACGGCCTGGCTTCCCTTCTCCTCCTGGGAGGCAGATACCCACAGCTGACTAAGGCTGGGCCGCAAGACAGAGCCGTAGCCAGCCACAGCCCGGCACCCCTCATGCCGCCCACTCACCATCCTGTGAGCCCCACTCCCAGTCAGGGCCTCGCACCACCTTCGCCCCCTGGAAGATGCCCCTGAGTGGGGTCCGCAGGAGGCCCTGGCGGGGACTCAGGGTGACACTGCAAAACAACAGGCCCTGAGCCAAGGACGGGAGCAGTGGCACAGGTCCCTTCCTGCCCAGCCCCACTCCCGTGCCCAGCACCCGCTCACACCTGCTGGGGTCAGCAGGACGGTCCCAGCTGCCCTTGCCCCAGGACGGTAGGACCAGCAGGTCGGTGCCCTCCACACTTGGGAGCCATCAACACCCTGGGCTTACGGGCCCAGAGTGAGCCTGCTGACCACGTTCCTCAGGGGACTTCCCTTATGCCAGGGTGGGAGGGCATCCATGCCACCCTCACAGCAAGGCCTCTGGGTGCAGTCGCTTCATGCCTGCTGCCTCCCCGTGAGCTGGGGCACGACTGGCGCAGGAGAGGGGTAGGCATGTGGGAAAGGGGGCACTGAGGGGCGAGGCCTGGCAGCGGCCCCCAGACAACCACGCCTGCTCCCCTGCCCCACAGCCAGCTGGGGACAGAACACACCCTTCCTTCCACATGTAGGGAGGGTAAAGGAGACAAGGGTGGCACCTTGGGATACCTGCCCGGCAAGCAGAGAACCCTCCAGCCCGATTCACTCCGGTCATTGGGCAGCGGCCTTTGAGCCAGGCCAGGGCGCCTCCCGACCGTGCCTGGGGGCCGGCTTCAAGCAGGGGCTGTCCCGCCAGAGCCCTCTGGGCCGGCCTGGTGTCTTATGGGGGATGCTGGCTGCTCCGGGCTGCTGCTGCAGGTGCAGCCACGTGCAGGCCACCCACACACCTGCCCTCTCTGCACTGCGAGCCATGCCTGGCTCTGGGGCAGCACAAGAATAGGAGGGCCCCTGTCCACAGCACTGCACTCTGTGGACTTGCACAGTGACGCTGCTGCCGTGCCCAGGCCTGGAGGCCCCAGGACCGACCCCAGCTCCTTGGGTGTGGTCAGGAGACAGGGCAGTCGCTGAGGCAGTGGGAACTCACGGGCGCGAGTGGGCCGTCTCGTAGCGCTCAAAGGCGTGGGCCAGATCGTGCTTGTTGTGCATGTAGCACTGCGTGCACAGGTCGTAGTCGAAGCACACGCGGCACTTCCAGCGCATGCCCCGCAGCCCGTGCTTCTTACAGCAGTCGCAGATGATGTTGGGGTGCCGCACACCTGGAGGCGGGGCGGGTTAGCGAGGGGTGGGCTGCCCGCTGGCCCTGCCCACCAGCCCCGCCCCCAGGCCCCACCCACCAACCCCGGCCCACCTATCTGGGCGTTGTCGTAGAGCAGTAAGTCATGGGCGCCCTGGTAGCCTGCGCGGTAGTTGGTGCGGGTGCCCTGGTCCCACTGCACGACCACTGTGCGGTCGGGGGTCGAGGGGCTGCCATGGCGACCGAGCTCCACCACCGTGCCCACGCCGCCCTCACCGCCGTCCTGCTGGCCCCACTTCCAGTCCACGCCGCGTACCACGCGCATGCCCACCTGCACACCCGCCTGGGGGTCTGGGTCCATAGCGCTGGACTGCTCAGGACCTGCAGGCAGAGGACACCTTGGGCTGCGACCCAGCCAACTGCTGCAGGGCACTCTCACCTCTCCGAAGAGGGCCACAGGAGCGATGCGGGTGGAGCAGGAGGACCTCAGAGCTGAGCAGAGTTGGGCAAATGCCCTGTCCAGGGAGGGTCAGAGGAGGTTCCAAAGGCCAGCTGGGAAGGTGGAGGGGCACCTGGCCTGGATAGGGGCTGGGAGGTCAGGACCACCAGGGCAGGGTGGTCCAAGGGAGCGTCCCTGAAGTCTGCCCTGTGCTGGATGGGCACACACCGTGCACTGTCAATAAACACCTGTTCACAAAGTGATGGGTTTGGGCTACAGACATCGGTGTGGAAGACAAGCTAATACAGTTCTCAGAAGAAAACAGACGATTTGTGTAGCCAACTGATGGGAAGGAATTCATTAAAGAACTGCCATTTCCCAAGATACCACCAAGTGACCAGAAAGGCAGCAAGACAACCCTACACAGATCCCTGGAGGCCTCAAGACCTGGGGGGTAGCGACTCCTAGACCTGTGTGAAAGGCTGATGGCCAGAGGCAACGTGCCAACACCCGGACAGCCATTCAGACGCCGACGTCCAAGGCGTCTCTGGTCACCAGACACCACTCTGAGGAATACCAGCGTCACCCCCACATCAGGGAATGCCATGAGGTCATGCAGGACTTTCTCTGGAGAAGCATGGCTGTCCACTCCAGACATGCACTGACCGATGAGACACAGGTCACAGAAGCACCGCCCCTGTCCAGGGGAGCATGGACCTGCCCGCCACACATGGGACCTGCTCCCCCATGCAGAAGGGATGCAGTCAAATTCCACAAAGCCACGTGAGATGACGCATGCCGCCACGCAGAGGATGTGTGCAGAGGGACGAGTCGCTCCAGGTCAAGGACTCGAAGACAGTGCTGCAGACTGCTGGGCACCACGGCCCACAAGCTAACCCCAGCCAGGGTGCTGATCCCCACACGTTCTCTGCAGACCTGGGACCCACGGCTGTGCACTCTGTCACACCCCTTCAGGACAGCCATAGATATGAGAGCTGAAAGGGGAAAGGACGGGGTCCCCACCCTCTTCTCATTTAACCCCCAGGACCCGGGGCTGGGCAGGGAGGCCACCCAAGATAGTGCCCAAAGAGGAATGGGTGCAGCAGTCACGATCCTTGCTCCCAGCCTTCGCAGGAGGGATACCCTGAGACTGGCTGGGGTGCAGCTGAGGACGGAAAGGGACACTGCCAGCCAGCCAAGGTCCTGCTGGCTCCAGTTAGGATCCAGGAGCGCTGTTCAGCCACAGGACACTGAAGCCAGCCCAGGTTGAGTCACACGCTACCCTGGCCCAAGATAGCACCCCACTTAGCGGCCAGTTCAGGAAACACCTTGGCCCCTGGGCGGCTGCTGGTGAGCAGTGAGGAGGGTGGCAGGAGGCTCAGCTCCACCCCTGCCCTGGTCAGGGGGCCCAGCCACACAGGCTGTCCCAGAGCAGGCCTGTGTCCAGCCTGGAGCTCTGCCTGCAGGGTGGGCTCCCAAAATGCCCCACCTGCACACCTGGGCTCCCAGGGGCTCTTCCTCCACCCCAGGAGTGTGGTTGAGCCCATGCCAGCCCAGATGAGAACGCCCGAGACTCCAGCACCAGCGCCCCAACAAGGGGGCAGTCGGGCGGCACCACAGCGCGGGCATGGAGGCGCGGGCTGTCTATGCTGGGCCTCACCTTTGTATCACTAGCTGCCAAGAGCACAGTAATCGCTCAGGTGACCCATGCCTTCCCAAGGCCCCCACAGCACAGTTCCCCTGGACAGGGCCATGAGTCTGCGCAGTCAGGGCCTCTGAGGATAACCCCGTGTCTGATCCTGCTGTCCCATGTCCAGGCTGGCCCTGCCCAGCTCCAGCTGTGACTGAACGGCTGGGAGAGTGAATAAAACAAGAAACAGCGCAGGTTGTACCGGGCTCCTGAGACAACCGGCAGACCCCACGTCCTGAGGGCCAGGCCCAGCCTGCCCACTTCCAGCCATCGCAACACAGCATGCTTGTGCGGGGCGGGGGGACACGTTCTCAGCACGCACAGCTGCTGCCTCCGGAACACCCAGGCGGGCTCGGCTGGACTGGCCAGCCCAGCCCCATAGCCCCTCCCTGGTCATGACCCTTTATCCTCCCCTGGAGACCCTCCCGTCCCCACTGGGGGCTGCCATGGAGGAAGGCTGCCCTTCCTTCCCAAGCAGCTTCCCCAGTCTGATCGTTTACAGAGTTGCTGCTGGGGCCAGTTGAAGGCTCCTGCTCCCTGGCCATCACAGCGACTTCCACCTCTATGCAAGGAGCCTGTCCACCCCAGCCCCCTCAGCACAGGCACCTTCCCTGCAGGCAGGGGAGGCTGGCACGTGGCCCACTAGCAGAGAGGTAGCACTGCTCTTAGGAGCACAGGCTTCAGCCCCGCCAGCCTACCAAGCCTCTCCAGATCCACACACACCTCTTCCCTGCTAGAAGCCAACAGAACTGGTCACAGATGGGGGAACATACTGAGTCGGGGTCTCCTCCCCACCAGGCACCCGTTTAGCCAGAACACAGCTCATCACAGGCAGCCACAGACCAGCTGGCGCACCCTGCTAGCAAGGGCAGCATCTGCTGAGCCCCAAGACTGCCCGTGCCAAGGCAAAGGACAGGGCAGGGGAAAGCCATCGCTGTACACTGATGCTGTGGTGCCCCGCAGTGGGTGACAGGCCTGTGGCTCTGCACCCACCCTCCCCAGCCAGAGCCAACCTGACCCAGGCCAGCCACACCTGCCAACCTGCAGGCCACGGTCCGCAGCCATATGCCGCTGAATCTCTTCCTGTAAGATATGGGGCAGGCGCCCCATGTGAGAGCCCGCACGGCCTTTGCCCAGCCCTCAGGGAATAGGCAGAGAGCAGAGGCAGAGAGCCCTGGCAGAGTATGTGGGAAGTCACTGGGCCACCACTCTGCAGGGACAGAGGCCTAGGTGGTCAGCCTGGGACAGAGTGGCCTGTGCCTCTAGCGAGCACCTATGTCAAGCCCAACCAGATGCTTCTCCAGCGCTGGTTCTCTTCTGGGAGCTGTCCCTCAATCCACCTGCGCCACAACACAGCCAGGCAGGGCACGGAAAGGATTCCCCCGACCTCCCCTCCTTGGCTAGAACCAGCACCCGCTGCTGCACAGGGCTGCCCCAAGAGAGGGGAAGAGCCCATGGAAGCCCACGCGGGGGCTGAGGGCACACCGGCATCCCATGACCCGCGTGTCCCATGTAAGCACAGATAAGCGGGTGTCTCCTCGTGGCTGCCCCTCTAGGAGGGCCGCCCCAGAGGACTTGGGGCCTGTTCTCTGTTCCCGAGGCAGTGGATTGCCTGCCATCAGATCTAGCACCCTGGCTTCAGGGCTCTCACTGCCTGACCTCGGAGTCTCCCCAGGAGGTGGGGGCAGGGAATGGACTAGGAGGGAAGGGCGCCCCCTGCTGGTCCCAACTTCTGCTCCCCTCTACCTAGGAGGGCTCCCCTCACAGGGAGACAGGGACAGCGCACCTGAGGACGGGAACTGAGATCCAGACCACCGCAAAGGGCCTGCCTGGGCCCCATGCTCAGCCGCCTGGGCTCTCGGGCAGCCTGGCCATCCCACTCAAGATAAAGCTGCAGACAAAAGGGCTCACCCCTGGGGCTTCTCTGACCAGCGTGGGACACACTGGGTCTGGGTGAGGCTGGCCGCTGAGGGCACTGGCTGCAGGCCTGAGGACAGCAGACCCTGGGCCGGCCTCTGAGCAAGGCTGGGAGTGGCCTGGACAGCACTCTGCACCCAGGCCAGCCACGCCCAGATCTCAGGTGAGCCCCTGCTCAGAGACACCTGAGATGAGGAAGCCCTGACAAGGCGGGAGGGGGCCTGTCCTGGAGACAAGCTGCCTGGCCCAGGCAGAGCGCCCCAAGGGTCCCTTGCTTCCACTGCCTCCCCCCGACCTGCTACAGCCCCCAACAACTGTCCCGTGCCTGTCCCTTCCTGGATGAGCAGAAGGCCACTAAGCTACCCACATCCACCTTGCTGTAGTAACCCCACAGGCTCCAGGCACAGGAAGGGTACCTGTGAGCCCTGTGCCCACAAAGATGGTTCCCCACCCATCCACAGCTGTTAGTTTGGGCCGAGGCAGACAGTGCAAAGACCCAAGGGTGGCCCCAGGCCTCACACCAAAGCCAGAGACCGTGGCCTAGTGCACGTGGAGGGGATCCAGGAAGCGCGCCCCACCCGCCAGGCTGAGAAGCTGCCACTGCCATGGCCACAGGTGTCCACGCAGCACACCCACAGAAGCAGCTGCCACACCATCCCCTGCTATCCACCTGGTGGACAAACAGCCCAGGCCTCACACCACACAGAGAGGGCACAGCGACACGAGCTCACGCGTGCCCTCTCTCGGTCAGACATCTGCCCACGGTGTTACTGTGTCTGCTCCTTTGCCAGAAATACCAGACTCTGCCATCTGCCCAGAGTTTGCAGGCTGTGCCCCTAGCTAGCAACAAAATCTGCTGAAGCTATCGGCACCATGTTTAAAACCACCGTGAGGCAGTTGGAATGCAGAGCTTCAGGCAACAGATGTGCCTGAGTAAAGTCAGCACTTACCTTAGAGCACACACCAGCTTCACGGCAGGTTCCCGAGTGCTTAGTGGCTATTTGCTGGGTCCCAGATGTGCTCAGCTACCAAGCTGCCCTGTTGGAAACTACAAGCCATTGCTGACACCGAACACAGCAAGCCACACGGGCAACCAGTCTGGGAAGAAACGGCATGAAGGCACTTTTACACTTTTGGTGCTTACCACCTCACCACAAGCCACCGCACAGTTTGTCCTGTTGTTTCCTAGCTTCTGTTCACAATAAACTCCTAGCTGTTAGATGACAGAAGTACTTCCAAACCACAAGTCGGGCTAGTGCAGGAGTAAGGTGTTCCCCCATTTGTGAGATTTTTATCAGAAAGGCTTTAAAAAGCTGCAGAAACCGAGTCATACTTAGCTAGGAGGTCAGCAAATTGCCTCTATTAGCCGGGCGTGGCAGCTCACGTCAGAAATTCCAGCACTTTGGGAGGCCAAGGCAGGAGGACTGCTTGAGCCCAGGAGGTCCAGGCTGCAGTGAGCTGTGATTGTGCCCCTGCGCTCCAGCCTGAGCAACAGAGTGAGAGTCGGATTCAAAAAGAAAAATGACCCTTATTCAGAAGAATAAAGTTATGTGAAACAGAGACTGCAACAGGCCATGAGGCTGATCCCTCCTCACACCTCCACCGTGCCTGATGACACTGAAGTGACACTGTGTGTGGCACAATCAACTGGCAAAAACTGGCCAGCCACAGGCTCCTGCCACATGGTAACTCCAGATAATGTAGGTGGAGGTCCTGGGTGTCTGGGGTGGTCAGGCCCTTTGGTACAGCCCTGACACGGAGAGATCAGCTTCAGGACACCTCCGGGGAGCCCATGGGTGAGCTGCCATCGCCCCTAGGGTGGCAGCCAGGTGGAGGCCCTCGAGCACTCTGCAGACTGAGGTGTCACGCACCCACCCGCAGCCCAGGGCTAACCTGGCAGGAGAGGAACATCCACACACTTGTTGCCTCTGAAGCAACAAACCAGGGAGGAGTGGGCAGAGCCAGGGTCTGCCAGGAAGGGCCCAGTTTTGCCGAGGCTCCTCCGCGGGGTCTGGATGTCCCCCAAGCCGCCGGTGCCCATCAGGGGCCCGCCTGGCACCTCTGCTTCCTCCCTCCGTCAGGTCTAAACTCGGGGTGGGGACGCGGGGGGTGGGAAGACCTCCCACTCCCCCTGCCCACGCACCACGCCCGCGCGGGCAGGAACGCAAACGCAGTCCGCGGACGCGGCTCAGACCCAGACCCAGGCCCAGGCCGAGCGCGCCGCGTCCGAACCATCGGGCCAGACCGGCCAAGAGCTCACCTGTCGGGCCCAGCAGTCGCCTCCTGCCCACCGGAGTCCTGGGGACCCGCAGGACCCGCTTCCTGCCGCGCCGACCGTCCGATCCTGTGGCCGGGAGATACGCGGGAGGCACGGTTGGCACCTCCGGTCCTCGACTGCGACTCCCAGGGCTGCCGCCGGCCGGGAGGAATTCCCGGGGCCGGGCGCGCAGGAGCGTAGCGCAGGCCACCCTTGTGCCGGGCCGGGACCGGGGTGGGGGCGAGGGGGCTCCCACCCGCGG